CCTAAAATGGCTTAAACCGATCTTAACTTGACATTTTCATGAATTTCTTGACATAAACTGACTGAACATACTTAAACACGAGCTAACTAACATGAATAGATACTGATTATAAGCTTACCTCACTAAGTGTTCGAGGAATTTCCCACAAACGGCCATGATTCATCACTTCCGCACCTATGCTCGTGTGCGTGTGTTCTTGCACTATTTTAACCTTATTGTTGCTAAGTGTTTTGCTGTGTTTTTAGTGCGTGTAAATCCCCCTCCTTCCCTTCAAAATGCTGCCTTATTGCACGGTAAATAGGGGAGAATTGGCTTATAAAGTCTCGGCCAATCAAGTCTCGCCACTTGCCGTGCGTTAAGGGATGATGGGTGGCTTTCTCGGTTGACTCATCACTTCAACGGCTTAGTCACCTTCTTAACATCTCCCAGCCCTCCATGTGTCCATTCCTTGCTGAAGTTGCACGTGAGTTTCATGAAAAACTTGATCTCTTGGCTATTAGGCGCTAAGTGCGATTAAGCACGCTAAGGGTGCGCTTAGGTGCTAACACCCACGTCCGTCCATATTTATTGCTTAAGTGCGAGTGCTTAAACTCAACCGTGCTAATGACTTACTTATTAATACCTTAAACATGATTATCCCTTAACTAATCCTCATTAATGTTAATTAATCTTAATTAACATTAAGCTAATCATGATTATCTTAAACTAATCTCGATTAATTAGCTTAAACATGATTAAGTTTATTAAGCACGGACTAATGACCATTACTTAATTAACGATGGACGGTGTACCAATGTGAACGCGTCACAGTATAGGTAAACCGAACTTGACATGAGAAACTTTAACTGGATTGACTATCGGAATATTATTCCGAACATGATCATGACATTCGAAAGTTAATTCGAATATTCTTGACTTAGACGATTAATCCGAACATTAATATTTCGAATAGTTCGTCGACTTGGCTTATTAATTCCAGACTCATTAACTAAGTAAATGAATCGGAATTAAATCTGAAAACTTATTCGGTTACCAACCGAATAATACATCGACTAATAGTCGAACTTAGAATCTGATTGACTGAATTTCTTGATCTTGAACATGAACATAACTATTTATTAACAAAGGCTCCCTTTAAACTAAAAGCTAGTATTTTCCTTTATTAATAAAACTCGGGGTGTTACACAAGATATATAGCTCCACATAAAAAATGAAGGATATCATTTCCCTGCAAAATTATTTCAATTAGTAACAAAAAAAAAAAAAAAAAA